TACCAAAAAGTACAACATCTGAAAGTAGATTGAAAGGTTTTGATCTTTTGAATATTCATAGGCATTTGACGACAAGCAAGGATGAGATAATTGAAAAATTAGCTCAATCACAACGAAGATTGGATTTTACAATGTAAATATATAACATATAAAATGCAATTATTCCTAAGAAACTTTTTGTGTAAAGGCTCTCTATTTTGGGTCATTTAAGCGATTCTTTACATATAATTTTTTATAATTCACATAAATTTAAAATTGTGTATTAGAAATAGTTATTAGTCCTAATAAATTTAAGCTTGATATTTTTAAAAAACAATAATATTTCTTAAAAAAATTTATTATCCCCCCATCCCCCAGACCAAATTCCTGCGTACGCGCCTGGTAATTGATTATTGTTATTATTTAGAATGTTATTTAATAAATAAATTTATATAATAAAATAGAATTGTGTTTAAATTTTTAAATCTTTATTCTGATCGTGATCACCTTATAATTTAAAATCCCTGAATTTATTTGACAAAAAATTTAATAAAAAACTGAAGTTAATGAGTTATTTATTAATTATATTATAATTTCTATATTATTCAAAGCACTTTTATTTTTATTAGAATTAAGTATTTATATTTTAATAAATCTAATTTTTCAATCTAAATATTTATTTTAAATAGTAAAAGATATCTAATAACAAATTTGGACGAATAAAATTTTATTTAGGAATAAAAATAAATACAATAAAATCATATATATTTACAAATAATATATATATACACATAATTTATTCATTAATGCTATTAAATATTTCAAGAGCAGTTTGACCATTTTCTATTGATTGTTCTATTGGTTGAATGTAATTATTCATTGTGATGGAATAGAAGATTTTCATTACTTCAGATTTAAAAAGGTATTGGTTAGGTATACTAAAATCATTTAGCCCTTCTTCCATTGAAAGTAGAAATAATCTTGATAAAATATAAGTTTTTCAAGACAATTATAAATTTTACCTATTTGGAGATGGCTTCTATTTATAAGATTCAATAATTTTTCATCCAATTTTTGGCTTGGGGATGAAATAAAATTCTTAATACTCTTACTAGTATCAAAATTACTAGTGGTTAGCCTATCAGCAATTGTAGACTCCATAAATTTATATACTCCAACCATTTGTATGTTGTCAGACGCGTACGCAGGAATTTGGTCTGGGGGGGGGGATAATAAATTTTTTAAAGAAATAATATTTTTAATTAAAAATACTAAGCATAAATTTATTAGGATTAATAACTTTTCTAATACACAATTTTAAACTAATGTGAATTAAAAAAATTATATATATAAACCGGCATTTAAATGTGAATCATAAAATATAAAGTGAATATAACCCACGATATGAATCACTTAAATGACCCAAAATTGAAATTTGAATTTTTTGAGCTTTTAAAATATATAAAGTATAAAAAATTTAAATGTTGTAAATATAAATTAATACTCAAAAAGTTTCTTAGGAATAATTGTATTTTGTATGTTTTGAGCTAATTTTTCAATTATCAATCCTTGCTTGGCGTTAAATGTCTATGAATATTTAAAAGATCCAAATCATTCAATCTACTTTCAGATGTTGTATTTCATAGGTATGTTTTTCACAGACTTGCAGGCCCGGCCCCCGAGCCGGACCGTATTTTAATTTTTTTAAATATACCCGGGCCAGGCTCGTAATTTTTTTTTTAAAACACCCGGGCTGGGCCTGAAAATTTTTTAAGAAAAAATATCCGAGCCGAGTTGTATATTTTAAAAGCAAATATTTGAAATCGCCATTATTAGCTATAAATATCAAAAATAAATATAATTTATTTTAAAAAATTCGGGCTGGGCCAGCCGGGTCGGGCCTGAAAATTTTTTTAATAAAAAACCCGGGCCGGAAAAAATTTTTAAAAAAAATCTGGGCCTGGTCCTGCAAATGGTACCTCTGCAAGGCTCTGTTATTCTTCTTAAAAAAGTGAATGTTCTCTCATTAGTTTACTAAAGAGCTGCTAATATATATATAACCATTTTAATAATTGGGAGTATAATCTAAAATGTGTTTGAAATAAAAGCATCCATAGCATTTTTTGGGACTGTATCAACCATAGTTAATCTTTTAATCATAGTTATTCAGCTAATAAGGCATCATAAGATATTTTAACATCTTCATGATAAAAATATAACAAATATTTATATTTTTTTTCTATCACCATATGAAAAAGGTTGGGAGAGGGGACATTTGTTTTATAATACTCTTCTACTGATCCTATATTAATGTTTTGATGATGAGCTTGCTTGCTGCAAGTCGAGGGGGACAAATATTTAACACGTATAGCTCTGCTTTTGACTCAACAATAACATATAAAATATGAAATTCTTTAACAACACTAGCTCTATTTCCTTGAGTTCTAATAAAATGCTCTCCGCTATTCTCATCTTCTTAATCAAGTCAATGTTATGTTTTTGAAAAGTATTACATAAAATAGTTGTATAATTAAATAATACATTCTAATGAGAAAAAAAATTTGGAATAAGTATTGAATCCAATAATTTTCTTGCTTCTGAGGAAATATTTCTTTCAAGCCATTGTGATATTTCAGTAATAGCATTAATAATCAGCTCTTCTAACTCCAAAATAGCTGTTACTGTGGCGGAGACTCGATCTCGTTTTACAAGCTTGCAATTTTTTTCTCCCTGTTGGACTAGGAGTTTCAGAGATAATTATTATTTTATTAGAAATTTAGATAAATATTACGCCACTAAAATTTGAAAATAATAGGTAAATTTCGCCAAGGAAAACTTGAAATCGAAATTGATTGATAAAATAACTTAGTAGATGAATGTGATAAATAAATGTAATTAAATATATATATGTATATATGAGATAAGAATAAATATTAACAAATATAAATTAATATTAACAATAATATTTTTGAAAAATATAATCCGGCATCTGCATTTTTTGGCTTTGGGGGGGGGGGGGCGCCTGTATGTTGTCTATCAATTCATATTTAACAATATATTATATTTTAGTCCCCATGCCCTAAAAATATAAATATATCATATTAATATTTAAAAATATACCATATTTCTTACATTTTTGAAAGAATATCGATATTTTATCGTATCAAAATTTTTGTTTTATAGAAAAAAGCAAACCAGATTGCGTTTTTTAAAATTGGTGCAATTGGAAAAAGTAAAAGCGCAATTTAAACGAATGCATTAGTTGCGTTTGAAACGCTCAATTTGTGCGCACTATTATGAATGTTTAAATTTGTCAGTTATAGCATATATTTATAAATATTCAATATAAAGTGCAATAAAAAGTGTTGTTTTGATTTGTATTTAAACTGCTAAAATGACTTAAATCACATTTTATAAAAATTCATTAAACATAATAATTTTTATTATAAAAATATACAAAATTATATATAAATATGAAAATAATATAGAAAATTATAAATATGAAGAGAAAATTTCATTTAAATTCAAAAATTTGTTTCTGATTGACTATATCATTTAACATATCTTGTGTGTTTGGCTCTAAAGTCTAAGATATAGATTATTATATAGTTTCTAATTTAATGTTATAATACTTGTGATGATATTTGTACATTTAACATATCTTGGATGTTTGGCTCATAATCCTAAGATATAGATTATTATATAGTTCTAATTTAATGTTATAATACTTGTGATGATATTTGTACATAAACATATCTTGAATGTTTGGCTCATAATCCTAAAATATAGATTATTATATAGTTCTAATTTCATGTTATAATACATGTGGGGATATTTCTACATTAATAGCATCCTTAGAATGTTTCAAACTGAAACTTGCTTCAGTGTGCTTACATATATCCTCCACATTTTCTTTTAGCCAGTAAAAACCTTCAACAAATTTAAATGCTTGTTGTTCATCATAGCAGCACCTGAACCTAAAATATAAAATAATTTTAATCTCTTCCCATTTGACTTTATTTGCAGCTGTATCTCTATTTTTAAGGTCACTATTAAACCACAAATGTCTATAAGGTCTTATATTTTTCATCAATTGAAATTCGTTCGCCATTTTTATTCCTTCAATTTGCATAATGATAAAATGATTAAAGTTTTACGAATCGTAAAAGTTTTAAGAATCACGTAATTTTCACAAAATCGAAAAAATCATTTAGGCCAACATTTTAATTTTCCATTAAAAATGGCTTATATTATTTTTTTTCGCTAGATTCGCGCAAATTGCGCGATATAATTTTTATGCAATTTTTGATATTTAAGACACAGCCTAATAAAAACAATGGAATAGATTTTCGTATTAGTTTTTTCATAGTTTACTTCTTATATCGATAATATGTAAAAAACATTAAACATTTTTATTTTATAAGACACTTTTTATGGGAGTTAGAAGATTTATTACTAAAATGTAAATTTATTTAAAAAATAAGATAAAAAATCGGTTTCGATTAAATTCCTATTATCAAAATTTTCACTCTATAGAATTTAAAATTCCTAAACCCGAATTCAGGCTCGCAATCCTGAGCTTTTTTAAAGTGTTATTTAACAGCTTTATTTTTAAAAATGGCTAGCCAAAATTGTGAACCTGGTTGGGCATTTTAGGACCTCACACTAAACAGAGACTGATTTATTGGCAATCCATCAAACCCGGTGTAATATGGACTCGGGCGGGTTTGGACCTGTTATAATATATATAAAAATAATTATATGCATGAAATTGATATCGGTTACATTTTTAAAAAATATCGGCCGATCCGATATTTTTCCTAAAAGTTTAATACGGTACAGCCCTAATCCGGAGCATAACATTTCCAAGTTTTTGAAAGACAAAAACTATGAAAACGAGAAACGAATATTTAATTTTTAAAGGAACTGGAAGGAAAACATGTTTCCTAGTAATATATTGATAGCTTAAATTTAATTTTTAATGTATAAAATATTGAAGTATTAAAATATTTTTTTTATAGATATTTGGGATAATAATCATAATATTATTCTGCCTCTCACGTTTCCAACGGATGTGGAATCAGAATTTTTTATTCTACCTGGCGATAATCACCGCTATAATTACCATTCTTTTGCTCTTCGTTTCTTTATGCGAAATATATAACTCTATCATATGGCCTTGGAAATCAATCGTAAATTATACTATCTTTTTTTTTTATTTTATAAAAAAAATTATTAAACGATACCAAATTATAGTCAAAATATAAAGGAATTATCATTTAAAATTTGATTATATGTATAGTTATTGTTGAGTAATGTCTAATGAAATGAATGGCTTTTAGATCGAGGATTTTTTTTTGAAATATAGCTCAACCTTGGAGAATTGATTTTTTTACGGCACGTACCTCACAAATTGAGCAGAATTAGCACATTAATCAACCAATATATTAGAACTGTCGACATTACTCAAAAAAGTATTTCAAGTTACTCTTTGAAAATAGTAATGCGTTTTTTTAGAAAAATAACGCCGTTATTATACTTCACTATGAAAAAAAGATAGTTAAAATTGTTTTAAATTTTAACGTTTAATATGAATAATTGATGAAATTTTTTTTAAAATAACCTTTTTTTAATTTTATAGTAAATTGTTTCAAAGTTTTAATCTGATAAAAAATAATAGTTATCACGCAGCACCACATGAGGTGTACTGAACTCTTGTGCAATAGCTGCTGAGATTGCAAGGGCAAGGGTGTATAGTATTTAAACAAAGTTTTTATGTTTGGAAATTGTTTGAGGCTAAAAATATATCTTTTCTCTCGGAGAATTAATTCCATCATGCAAGTTATAAGACTTATTTTAATTGAACAAACAAACGGGTAGTTTCCCTAATATCACATTTATTTTATAATTAATAAGTTTAACTTTGTATTTATTTGACTAAATTCAATATTTTTAAGAGTAAATTAATAGACAACTGAGATAAATGGTATGGTTCTATTTTTAGTGTGACTGGTTATGTTTATTATATTTTTTGGGGGGTTTTAAGAATTTATAACTAAATGATAAAAGATATTTTATAATTGTAATGAATTCCAATTGTCCGGCACGTGGTCGGGGGGTGGAGGATTTTTGAAAAAATATAAAAGGGCTTTATGATTTGTGAATTGCAAAGTATTCTATTTCAAATGGATTATATTTCTGATCTAAATATTAGCAAAAAGTTAAATTAACTTAAATATTTATTTCTTGAATATTAATATTTTATCTCACTAAAATTAAAAAATTTCTATTTTATTTATCTCTACTAATAACTATGATTAGAAAATTTCTAGAGTGTATGAAATGCAGATATTCAAATAGACAAAGTTTGCTTAATATAGTTATTTCTGAGACTTCTTGTGCAACAAGGAAAAAGAAACTGCAAAAATCCTGCACGACAAGATAAGCCTTCAACATCCTGTTATATTATTTTTTTGGATCTAGAAGATCCTATATATGCCCTTGGAGAAATATTGGAATCACCTGAGTCACATATTTTACTTGAAGCTGTTACATTATTAGATTTAATATAAATACCAATTTTTTCATTGGAATGTATTAATGAATTATATATTACACAACAATTTTATGCAATATTTTTCAAAAACTGAATTAGGCTGAAGTTATGAGTATCGCGAATAATATTATGTTACAATTTAGAAGACCAAGAGATAATATCGACCAGGAATTTCTCGAGATTTTTGTGATTGTTGAGGTGAAAACGAAATTATATGATTTTGAGATTTACAAACCTCGACTTTACCGACAAACAAATATTTCCAATATTAACGTAGACTCAATTTATGATTATAAAATTTTGGATTTAATTTTGGCCCAAATCAATGAACGATTTGTGATTTATCAAATTCAGTTTAAAAATGCTATATTTCATAACTCCCTCTGATCTTAGGATATATCAAATCTTGATATTGAAAAATTAGATAATTTGCTAAATTTTATTCATAAGATATAAATGTATCTAAAGGCCAATTAATTTCAGAATTTAAATGGTATGAAAGATTCATTTTTGTAGATAATCCATCAAGAAATATAGTGGAAGCATTTAAGTTTTCCAAATATATTAAAATTACTGTATATTTTAGCAATGATGCCTATTAGTACAATCACAAATGAGGGTTATTTTCTTCATTACAGAGAAAAAAAACCTATATCAAAGGTATGGCATTTTAAAATTGATTGAATAACTAGCTTTACTCGTCGAGATCTAATCTCCAACACAAAACAAATTATTAAAAAATTGGCCCAATCGCAAAGATTTAATTTTCATTTATGAACCATATTTTGACTATCTTTAAATTACCATAAAATGTTTAATTTTATATTTTATTGTAATTTGCATACCAGTTTTATATAGAGTTAATTTTTTTTTAACCGTATTATATTCGATCTTAATATTTTGTATTTTCAAATATGATTGGTTCTAATAAATTTTATATGATGATTAATTCTAACAGATTTTTAATGCTCCAAAAAAAAATCATTTCAATATTAAAAAAATTATCCCACCCCCGTAGAAAATTCCTGACTGCGCGCCTGCAATTATCTATATCTAATAATTTTTATAAAATAGTATAAATAATCAGCGAGTGATACACGGGCTCCTTTAGGTATTTTAGTAGTTGGAAGTTTGTGAGTAGTTAGGAACTTCCCCAAGAGTCTTTTAGGGAACTATAGAAAAATCTGAGAATTAAAGAAGGATATCCCTAAATTGGATATTAAAGAAGGAATTTCATTAGAAATGAACAAGTAGGATTTTAAAATATTATCAAAATAAATTAAGCAATTATATGAAATTAATTTTTTAAGTATTTGTATTTAAAATTAGAGATGTAACGTAGGGGAAATTACCCTAAAAACTTCGAAATTTCTCCGATATTTTCCCCAATTTTTTAATGCTTTTTTGATCAAATAATCAGGATTTTTATTATATTTTAGAAAATATTTTTTCTTCTTGGTTTATATATCATACATAATTGGGGTTTGTTTTTTATTTACATTCATTTCCGATAATATAATGATAGCTTAACTCTAGGAATGTTCATCGGAAGGAAATTTTTTTATATGAAATAAAATTCTTTTAATAATAACTGAGATAAGGAGTAGGATTAAAGGTTAAAGAGTTATAGGATAAACCCAACTTCCTCTTCTAATTTTAAATAATATCAATTTATGAAAAATAATTTAATGTAATATATTAATAATTTTGCAATAACATTTTGTTAAATTGCTCAGTTTCAATAACGCAACGTGTATTTTATTTGGAAAAAAATTATTTCAATCTTTAAAAAAAGCATTTAAAATGCTCACAAGATATTTACTCAGTAAAATTTGTTAAACAGTGAATATGAAAGGATTAAAAATATAGTAACCGAAAGATAAGATAAAAATAAAAATTTGATTCTTATTAATGATGGGTGGACAAATATAAGAGTGGAATTTATTATAAATTTTATTATAGCAATCCTCTTTAAATTAATTGAAACAGGGACCAATATGCGTACGGGAGAATATATATCAGTGAATTTATTAAAGTAATTGTAAAAGTAGGAAACACAAAAATTAATATGATAATGCAAGTAATGAAGAAAGCCTGAACACTTGTGAGAATTAACTATCCAATTATCAAATGCATTGGATCTTTATCTCATGGACTTAATTTGCTTTTTAAGGATCTAGCAAATAAAATATTGTCAATTTAAATTTTAGTAGCAAAAGCTTAAATTATTATAAAATATGTAAAATTCAACATTCTTTTATATACATAGGGAAAAACAACTACTTAAAGATAAAAATACAATTGTTTCCTTTAAGTTGCCTAGCTCAACCAACTCCTTAGACAGTGTAGTTATGATAATTAATAGTCTTAAAAAATAAAGATATTTTATGGCAGATAAGAGACTAAATCTTATTGATAATGAAGTCTTTTAAATGATCTTGCACATCTTTGCAATTTTATAGTCATTTCTACACAAATAGAGAAAGTCGAAGCGGACAAATCAAGCTTAGCCGACGTTCCTCAAGCTTTTATTTAATCAGGGAAATCTCGTACGGAACGAAATGATAGATATTGAACTATATATATATATAAAATAGGAAATTTGTTGCCGGGACATACATTACTCTGCTCATATACTTGACCCACGATATTGCAGATTTAATTTTAAAGACAATGAAGTTGTTGATAAAAAATTAGATGGGATGCCTAGATTTAGATGTTGCGAGACAAATGACAAATTGCTCGATTTTAGAGGTCTAGAATCGTTTCAAACGAAGATAACATCTTAAATAATTGAAATTATATCATACTTGTTTAAATAACATATTAATAGTTTCTATATTTTTGATATAACATGAAAAAAAAGCAATATTGACCTAGAAAATAATTCTTTAAAGAAAATCTCCCGTTGTTTCCCTAAATTATAGTTTCACGGGAAATTTAAATCCTTAATTAAGATATAGTTATTTTTAAAAAATTTATTTCTTACAAGATATTTTCGAAAAGTTTAAAAATGTTAAAGTATCTTGTATTGTATCTGTTAAATATTGTTTTAAAGTTATATACATTTTTCCCCTTAAGGCTAATTTTTTATTATAAAATAGTTTTTTTAAGTCCCTCTTTTGTTTGATTTATTTACATAAAATTAAAACATAGCTTTTGTGTTTTCTTGTAATCAGAGATTTTTCATACTTTTGGATTCTCTAGTAAGGTTTTCATTAATTATAAATTTGATAATTAGGTCCCGGAGATCGTCCTGAATCCAGAGATTTAATTAGAGTTCCGAAAAGTATAGGGGGATTGGTTTTATCCTCAATAATGTAAGATAAAATTAACACAACTCCTCTTCCCAAAAATGTTCTTTTTTTCACTGCGCCAATTTCATTTTAATTTATAATTGCGCTTTTTATTTCCACTGGTACTATTTTTTATGTTTATCTGGATATTATATTTTTAGTTTATAAATTGTAACAATAATTAATTTTTTTAACTTATAGAATCTAATACTTTAGTTTGTAAATTTTTATATTTGAAATTTAATTAATTAAAGTTTTTTTTAAAATATTTGTCCGTTTTGTTAATAAATAATTTGCGTTTTAATTTGGAATATTTTTAGTAAGTTTTGAGTTATCTAACTATGACATACACCCGCTCACAAGGACTGATTGGAGAGGATATAATTGTCTCCGTTGTTTCACCCCGAATTTATGCTCTTCTGCCGGTAAATGAAACTCCACTACTTCAGTATCTTAGATACAAATATCCGCAACACTGTCTAATTTTGTCTTTATTACCTGGATCCTAAATATAACGACATTCAGCTTAAAATATGGGTAGAGCTAGTTATTATTGCATGCTCATCACCATTATTGATTTTCAGCTTCATTATCATAAAGATCAGAAATTACAATGAGTATAAAATTATTTTCTATATCTGAAGCTATGTCACTTATTTCATTATTATCATTAAAACTCTAAAAGGATTTAATTTATGCATTACAATGATAGAATAAATAAATACTTTAAAGCCTCAATGAAAATACGTACTTTGTCCATTATTTTCTTGGTTATTTTAACCTCTTTCGTTTTTCTATCTTCCTTTAATTCGTCATTGTCACAAAATTTGAATTTGTGAAGAAAATAAGAAATGGTTATTGTTTATTTTAATCAAATAAGCAGTTATATATTTTCTAAATTTATTTTTAAGAATTAATTATAAATTAAGATAAAAATTATCATAAATGCAACGATTTTCCGATATCAATATGTAAAATATATCGGGGCAAGTCTACGATACATTAAAATTGTAAGTATCACCCATATCGCGATATTTTATCAACTTAGGAAAATATAGGTGGTTATATATAAATATAATTAATTTGATCAACGTAAAGAACGATTTAAAAAGTGATAGAAAATATTCAAAATCAAAATTTTACACACGTATTATCAATTAAAATGCGATTTTATGATGTAAATATTAATTTCAAAATTATAATAAAGGAAATCGGATACCATATAACCGCTGCAATTCTTTTTGGAATAGGTGCTAGTTTAGTAATGGTATATAGTAGAAGTCCAACACCCTGGGTCATTGCTGGTGTAAGTATATATAAAATTTTCAGTTTTTTAATATTTGATTTTCTATTTGTAATTTTTACTTTATTTAGGTTTTTGGATATCTAAATACAGCATTATATGGTCTGCACACGTACTTTTCTGCTGATTAAAAAGGATATACAATCCCCGAAATATTTTTAAAGAACTTTTTTGGCTCAATCATATTATTTTTTAGTTATAATTTTATTATTTTTGTGAAGAAATCTAAAATGATCTATAAATATGATGTAAAATAAATATTGCTTTTGATATAAAATATGACTTTATCTTTGTGAATAAATAAAATTATTATGATTTTATTCATTAATAAGATCACGATGATTTTATTATGTTTAAATTATAAATCAAATTTGGTTTCTATCACTTCAGTAAAATTGAAAAAAAATTAAGAGTAAATGAAGTTTCTAATTATTATTTATCCTCCAAACCCCAATAAGCTTCTGAAGCAAAATACCCCCTCCTCCCTCCTGATAAATATGTCACATAAAAAGACGCCGCAATATTTGTTAGAGACTTGTAGTGGTCGAAATTTAAAAGCTTTCAGGAATGTTATATTTTATTGCCAAACCTACTGTAGAAGTGGCAAAAGGTAGAAACATGACATTTTATAGAAAAGAATATTTAAGGTGCTTCGAAGTTTGGGTTGCCATGATTAAAGACATGGTGATTTAGGTAATAGTCTATACAAACTTATTCCCAAACTAGAGGTTGTTCTTTGACCTAGAGATTAGTATTACCCTATGTGTTGTTGTCTATGGTATTTATACCGTTTCCAATGTCGATGGAATGACAGCGGTAGAAAGGGCTTTATATATGAGGGACCTATATTGTATGATGACGAAGAATGTTTGCCTTTTGAGTATTGCAATGTAATGAATGGTGTCTTTATGTATCGACCTAAATCTTGCATAGACTGCAGATGTGTGTGATGACTACTTGTATTGAGCAGGGGGCCAATTGCGATCCGGATTATTTTTGGTTAGATATGTGTTTAGATTCTGATTAGCAATTGCGTCTAGTCATTTATAATCATGATTGTGAAATTGGCAAGTTTCCCGGATTACGGGTTAGGTAAAAAAAATATAACTGAAGGCCAAATCATAAAAGTGGTTCAGTCTTAAGAGTGCGGATGGTCAGAAATGTCTTGAAATTCAAGTCATATAACGTAGTTTCTTGGTTCATTAAATCTTGAATCAGAGTTGTGAGGATATGAAGGCTGCCAGTCATAGGGGGGTCTATGCCACCTTTTTGAACGGAAAGTATATTTCATTCATGATAGAAGAAAATTTAATGTTGATCTCGTCAAACTTTTCAAGATTAGAAGTTCTTTATTTTTAAATTGGATTTTTTAAAATAATATACTGGGCTCAAATGATATATCTTTGCCATTGCTTAATTGCAAATTTCTGTTTATATTCTAAAACAAAAAATATAGATTATTATAATATAACAGGTGCAGCGAGGGTAGGGTCCTTTGGGACATGCTATTCTAAAATTTGCTTATCCTGAATATTATTTTGAGGTTTAAAAAAAATTCTTATCATCACCCTCTCAAGTCTGGATAGACTGCTCGAAGCTTGGCTGGACCCGAGTTTGCGGGTTCGGACCTTGAAAAAAATCTCCTCGGGCTCATGGAGCTGTAGAATATGTCCGACCCGATATATAAATATTAAAAATACAAATATTCTTAATAAAAATATCTTATTTCAAAAAATGTCAATCAGAATAAAATGATATTAATGTCTTTTTAATATATTCATTATATTTTTTAGAAACCTTTTCTCTATATAAACAATCGTATCATCTTTCCAATAGCGTCAAAATTATGAATTTTTTTTATATCAGGTAATTTTGGAAAATTTTAGCTTAAAAAAATTGTAAATTTGGATACTGCTAGTTAAAAAAAAGAAAGTAATTTTGAGTAATGTTGGCTAAAAAAAAATTTTGAAATTTTTTTTGAGCCCCTTGAGATTGGTAAAGAAGGCTAGTGACGCCCTTACTTTTCTCTACATTAATCATGTAAAATATTTTTATATAATTACAATTTTAAATTCGATTGTATTTTAACTTTACAATATTAAAATTGAATAAAATATAAATATAATGTTAGCAGCAATGTGCTTTTTCTGGCTATGGTTATTTTTTCTAAATAATTTTTTGAGCTAGTTTTTTTAAATTTAAGAATTTGAATTCTAACAGAAGTGTATTCCATCATTTTTGGAATACCTACTTTATGAATTTCATATAATTTTGAACTAAAGTTAGTATATATTATTTCCATATTTTATATAAATTATAAATGACTCAAAGGTTACCGGTAATGTCTAAATCATAAGATAGGTATTCTAAACTTGCTGAAATACAATTCCGATAAAATCAAATTTTAAAAAAAACGAGCTCAAAAAATGATTTAAAGTTGAAAAAATAAAACGTATTGCTGGAAAAAACAAATTGACACTAACTACAAATACAATTATATAAAATGCATTTCTATATGATAATTGATTAGAATATGTTAAATATACTTTTATTTAAGATAGTAATATGTGAATAAATACACATAATTTTTAATTATTTCCTAGATATTATAATATTTAAACTCAAATTAAAAAAAGAAAAGATCTACCTAATATTCAAATTTAAAAAAAGAAAAGATCTACCTAATAGTGCCACCCCATTGCCAAATTCTAGCTATATCTAGGCAATCGCCACCAGGGGCATCGCTAGCCTTTACAATCTCAGGGGGCTCAACTAAAAAAAAATTGGGGCGAAGCCCCCATGGTTTCTTATTTGTGGGCTTTCGGTTTTATTAATATATACTTTTTTAAATTTGCTAACTCTGAACAATTATTCTGAATTTCATATTTTGTCATTTACTATATTATGCATACAAAATAAACTCGCATATAAATAATTAAACAATATAAGACATTTCTAAAAAAAATAATTTTTAATACAAAATCTATATTTTCGATTGCTGTTATAAAAAATTTTGCTTCTAAAAAATTATAAGTGATAAAAAAAAACATATGCATGCCTCAATTGATAATGGTTTTTAAAAACCACATAATATATAATTATTGGCAACTTATAATTACAAAAGGTCATGAAATAACTCCTATTTTAGACAAAGTTTTATAGAATAGACTAATAAGGAAAAATTTATAGGCTTAACCAAATCAACAATTCTTAAAAAAGAGAATATAAACGACCAATCCAAATCATAAAACTATATGATGGTTAGAGCTTCCACTTAGATGACATGATGGAAGCTAGATAAGTAATCGTGCAAATTATTGTGAGATATTAAATTTCCATAAGATTATCTTCCATTTTTAATGATATATAAACGATTACACAGTTGACCATTATTGCTTATCTAAAATATGCAATCATATGCTCTCAGCAGCTGTATTAATAACCTTAAATTACATAGCCACACACATAATATATGCTAGTTAATTTGCAGTCATATGACCAGGGTTTAACATTTGCTCAAAATTCAAAAATCTTCACAGATCGTTGCTCTTTTGAAGATCAAAAAATGCGAAGATTTTTTCGCTAAAAAAAATTTTGAGCTTGCTCAAAGAAGATTTTTGAGCAAAATAAAAAATATTTTTTGTAAAAAAATCTTCTAAAATTTTGAGAAAATATTTTGAGAATTTTATAATAAAATAAAATCTTTTGTAAGGAAATCTTTATTAAAATATTTTTGAAATTTTGATCTTAAAATTTTTTGGTAAATTCTTTAAAAATAAAATTTTTGATATATATTTTTTTTTATTTTATTATGTTAATGAAAATATTTTTTTTGAATAGGTTGTGAATGTGAGAATTGGTCATAATACCGACTGCATTTTTTTTAATATTTGGAATAAGTAATAATGATTATTTTAAAAATGTAATGTCATAATTTTAATGTTTTATATTTAATGTAAACTATAAAAGTGACAATTGTCATATTACTCATCTCAGAACCTTTAAAAATAATTATAATTAAAAAAGGCTAGTTGAGCATGTTTTGAGATGGTTTCAGTGATTGTAAAGCATATAAAGGTGACAATTGTCATAATACTTATTTCACATATGTTTTAATTGGAAATAGAGAAAAATGATTATTTCAACATGAATTAATATAATGTGTAAACTATAAAAGTGACAATTGTCATAATATTCATAACAGAACCTATAAAAATAATTTTATTTTTAGGTATTAAATAGGCGAGAAAAAATTTTTTGAGCATGTTTCGAGATGGTTTTAATGATTGTAAAAATTGTCACAATCGTTATTTTTGAACTTTTTTAAAGCAAGTAGATAAAAATTTATTAAATATAAAATTAAATGTGGATGTACCATAGAGCAGTGACAATTGTCATAATCGTTATTTTTGAACTTTTTTGAATTTTTTTGAAGCAACATAGTAAAATAATAAATTGTAAACATGTTAAATTGAAATTTAAATGTGGATGTACCATAGAAAAGTGACAATTGTCATAATCGTTATTTTTAATCTTTTTTGAATTTTTTTGAAGCAAAAGGGTAAAATTATATATTGTAAACATGTTATATAAAAATTTCAGTGAAGATGTACCATAGAAATGTGACAATTATCATAATTGTTATCTTTGAACTTTTTTGAATTTTTTTAAAGCAAATAGGTAAAAATATATATTGTAAACCTGTTAAATTAAAATTTCAGTGAATATGTACCATAGAAAAGTGACAATTGTCATAATCGTTATTTTTAATCTTTTTTGATTTTTTTTGAAGAAATTATATATTGTAAACTTATTAAATTAAAATTTCACTGAAGATCTACCATAGAAAAGTGAAAATTGTCTTAATTGTCATTTTTAATCCCTTTTAAATTTTTTTGAACTTACAGGGTAAAATAATAAATTGTAAACTTTTTAAATTTAAATGTGGATGTACTATAGATAAGTGACAATTGTCATAATGGCCATTTTTAATCTTTTTTGAATTTTTTTGAAGCAAAAGGGTAAAATAATAAATTATAAACATCATTAATTAAAATTTAAATGAGGATGTACCATAGAAATGTGACAATTGTCATAAACGTTTATTTTAATCTTTTTTGAATTTTTTTTAAGCAAAAGGGTAAAATTATATATTGTAAACATGTTAAATTAAAATTTCAGTGGAGATCTACCATAGAAGAGTGACAATTATCATTTTTAATTTTTTATTTAATTTTTTTGAACTTAAAGGGTAAAATAATAAATTGTACACATGTT